CATTAGCACCTCTAGTAATATATTTACTAAGAAAAATGATGACGCGTTCAATACTTATTTTACCTGATGTAATTAAAATTAATTGAATTACATAAATAAACACAGACAATAAAATCAACAGCATTGTGCACATCCATTATATTATTAATCTGTTTTGTTCCCCTTAACTTTTTTCACTATAATTCTACGATATATGACATAACTATGTTTTGTCTTACTTACTTACTTACTTACTTACTTACTTACATATTTATTTATTTATTTATTTATTGTTTTCACCTATAGCATTTATAGTGCATACATTTATGAAGGGTCATGAAAACATACAAATAGTTCCAAACTATTTCAGTCAAACTACTGTACATCTCAGAGCAGGAAGCAATGATTAATCTGTTTAATTATTTTAAATTTTTTTAAAAAAATCAAAGCTTCTTTTAATTATAAACATTTTTCTTGATTGAATTATTAAGTCAATATTACTGAGTTTAGTTATTTTTCAGCTCTATGTCGGGTGTTTTAGTATTAGTTAAGCTCTTATATTTTTCTGGATTAATGTGTGCCTTCAGCCACAGATGACAGAAAAATGAAGAGGTAGAAATGTTTCTAAGTAAATTCTAAAGGTGCAAAAGCGCATCGCCACTCTGCAGACACCATCTGTTTCTTTTATTTTCTGTAATAAAGATAAAGCTTACTTATCATGACATCACATATTCCACCCACCGGTTGCATGTGTGAGTCCCCACACCTCCTGGCCATAAACATCCGTCTTGTTCCAGACCAGCTTGTGGACCAGACCGGGCCCAGCAGGATACCACCGCTGGTATAACCTCCCTTGGACAGACGCGCGGACGTGCACCTTGGACAGGTCGCCCAGGGGGGAAACGGGGGACGACGAGGACGGGGGAGTGAGGAGGATGCGCAGCAGAGCGAAGTAGCCTGCGGCACGGGTGCTCAAGTAGTTCAGCTTCACAAAAGCTCCCGGGATGGAAACTTCTTCCTGGATCGCCTGGGGAGAGCGAAGACGGAGAGCCGAGTGAGAAATATGGGCGACGAAAAAAAGGAGCGTGAATTTGAAATGAGAGACGGGGAGATTAATATAATAGATAAAGGTGTTTCATCATGACTTTTTCATTTATAAAATGAGCTGCTGTAATAAGAGTTATTGGCAGTTTTATGGAAAAGAAGCTGCAGACGGGAACTCTGCAGCAAGTAAGCAAAGAAAATTCAGGTTTTTCAAACTTTTTTTTTTGTAAAACTGATTTTAAACTGTGTCTCCAAAACCTTCTGTTGGTGCGGTATAAAAGAAATTATGTTTTATAAAAATATAGAAAGTGTATTATTACATCCTAAAACAAAAATACGGGCAAATAAAATTTATGTCCACAATAACGACTGAGACGTAACAAGCTGCTTTATTTTCAGCAGTACAGCATTTCCGTTGACTTAACCTCCTAAAACTTTTTCTTTTGAAAAGTCTGATTCAATTCACGAGTACAACAAAAAGGAACACTAACTGCTTTTATTTTTATCTTTTATTTTTTTCATGGCTGCCTCTTTATCCTGAGGTGTTGTTTATTGATGGGATAAAGTGTTCCTTAATTTGTTTCCCTTGTTTCTTCTTACAAATCTCATTTGATTCTTTTATATTAGATAGAAATTCAAAGAACTTAAAAAAGGTGATGGTGGAAGAGAATGGAAAAACAAGAAAATCAATTTCTTCTGTCAATGCAATGACAGCCCATGGCACACGACAAGCATCTCTGTATTGCATGTTTCAAGCTAGAGGTTTAGGTTTGTTCAGTTTAATAAGAATTTAAAAAGTAAAAAAAAAAACTGGAGTTTCACTTTAGAGCATAAACAGACTGACCTCCACGGTTGACTTTCAGACACCTGATTTGCCTCTGTTGTGGGGAACAATATGTAGCACATGCTAGCATTTTTTTCATTTGCATGATGCAAATCTGGCTTGAGCAAAATTTGCAAAAACCCTGTGAGACCAGGCGGGTTTGCTGCTCAGCTGTTACAAATCACATCCAAGAGTTATTTTTACTGATTGTCTTCTATGTACAGCRCAACAATGGCCGAGATATCCTGCGTCACTACGTTTTGTTTCACAGTGAAACTCCCACACAAAATRGTAGATTAAATACCATGAAATGTCAGTTCATCTCCTTTCAAAAGGTGATATTGAATTGTCTTTGGGAGACGATGATGAACCACCACTCTAAATCAGGTGAGATTTAGAGTGAAAGGTCCTGATTAATACTGAAAGCAATGATATGAAAATATATTTATACATGCAAATTCCCCCWAGGATGCATTGCAATAACTTTAATATTAATTTGTGTTTGATTTACTTATTAGACGTGGTGGAAAACTGTATTTAGCGAAGGACCAACATCACACTACCTGCAGAGTTTCACACWTCTTTTGTTTTTGTTTTATAACAAATACAAGTGAGCTGTACCTGTAGCTCGGGCACAGCTGGTCCCTTTTCTGTACATGACCCGGTGTATCTGGGAAGAGGGTAAGGCAGAACCAGCGGATATGGGCTCAGAACACTTCTGATGTCACACTTAGAAGGTTGCGCTTCCTCTTTGGTCATGGTCACCTGATCCAGAACCAGGAAGTTGTTGTTTGGCGTCCATATGGTGCGTGTTTGGGARAGGAAGGGCGGCCGCTGGAACATGAGGGTCACAGACATTGCACCGAATGTCACCAAGTCAAAACTAGGAATAAAAGAGAGCAGGGCAAAGTAAGCTTATGAAAAGAACCACAAATGGAAATAAATTTACTAACAACAACAACAACAACAACAAAAAAGTTAAGTACCCAGACAGAGTGGAAGTGTGGATTTACTGTTGGTCATGTGTCCAGCCCAGTACTGGCCCACACAAAAATACTAAAACTCGGCCCACATACCACAAAGAATGACAACACTTTGGTGGCCCAGATGTGGTTTGCCAGAGGGGGTCCATGCTTGAGCCAGCACCACATACACCAAACCACAACTTGGTCAACTGTGACAAACCGGCAGATTAGAGCCGCTGCTCCTCTACGTCGAGAGGAGCCAGTTGAGGTGGCTCGGGCATCTGTTTAGGATGCCTCCTGGACACCTCCCTGGTGAGGTGTTCCGGGCATGTCCCACTGCGAGGAGGCCTAGAGGAAGACCCAGGACACTCTGGAGGGGCTATGTTTCTCGGATGGCCTGGGAACACCTTGGGATTGCCCGGACGAGCTGACCCAAGTGGCTGGGGAGAGGGAAGTCTGGGTCTCTCTGCTCAGGCTGCTGCCCCCGTGACCCGACCCCAGATAAGCAGAAGAAAACAGATGGATGTGCCATCATTGCCAGACGCGGTCCACATCCTGTTGACAAGCCACTTGCCATGGCAGCAGTCAACAAGCAGTGCCAAATTGAAACCAGATCTGGCCCACGCCTGTCTCTGCTATGTGGGTTCATTTAAGCTGATCCCACATATTTCCCAGTAATAAAGTATTGCAGGACCCAGAATGCCAAAGRACAACTTTAATTTGATGCAGGCAGTTTATAGACACACATTCATGTGTGGACAGGGAGTAGCTTGGTGAATGAAAGACTGAACAAGAGTGTCGTCTCAGGAGGAATAAGACGTGTGGACACAGGATGTCACTGACATAGCGCTGTCCCATCAGGATCCCCTAAATCACCTACCAGACCCTATGGCTCCCCACATCATGATGCTGGGAGTACATGCAGTTTTTTTCTGTACACATGTAGTTTCATGTCATCTCCCCTCTACACTGCCATGCCTTTAAACAATGGTTGTCAGTGGTAATGTAGAGTCAAGATTTATCCCAGCTACACATCATCAGTCCATTCCTCTCAGTTACAGTTCCATTTTCAGTGACTGTGGCTGAGTGGTTAAAACAGTTGTCTTCCACTGAAAGAGTTGGGGGTCCGATTCTACCACTATTCAGYCATATGTTCAAGTGTCGCTGGGCAAGACATTGAATCCCCGCTGCCTCTGATGTCAGTGTATGAATGTAATGTAAAGCACTGATTAGTCTCTATAGAAGAATTTATCCATATTAGTTTGGTAATATAGTGAGTGCTGTCTGAATGGGTAAATGAGGCCACATATTATAATGTAAAGCACTTGAAATATCCTGGTTGGATAGAAAGACACTATACAAGTACAGTCCATTTACCATTTCAAACAGTCTTCTCAGCTTTGGTGTTAATGCTAATCTCTGCATGAAATAGTGAACCCTTAGTCTTAATGATGCCACTCATTGAGACACATTGCAGGATGATGCGTGGTGTTTTAAAAAGTCAGATGGAAAGCACATATGTCAAAAGGTTCTGTGATACCTGAGGCAGAATGTGTTTATTCCCTCTGGGTGTGGTCTGTTTTGGGTGACCGAAACCTTGACAGCTTCAGTGGGAATGCTCAAGTACCCATTGGTAGCAACACAAAGCCACTGTGACATCTGCACTGTTTAAATGCCAACAATTACACAATACAACCACCTGGTGTCTTGTAAAGTCACAACGTGACCACCGTTAAACTCTGTTCCGGCAGTGTTGTGTCTATGAGGCTTTGACTGAATGTCAGAAGCTCCAGTAACCTCCTGATAACTCTGTCACTCCACTTWTGCCCTCTGGTTCCCCTTCTAGATGTGCCAGCTCTTTACACATTAAGTAATTTACATACCCATCACTGCTCTGCTTGTGAACCAAATTACATCCAAATCGAACCATTCCTTCTGGGTGTTTACCCCCCTTTTTTTTGGTCAGTGAGTGTGATTGTGTATTTTCCTCTTTGCTTTCTACCTTCCATCCTGCCTGCTGATTGTGTACCCAAACTCAGGATGCTGTGGGAAGGTGATGTTGACTCCAACCAGAGGAGAGCCATCCTGCAGTACAACTCTACCTCGAATCACAGCCACCCGACTGTCAAAACAAAGAGAGGCAGTTGAAAGATAAAACAAAAAGGGAGGATAAACAGATAGAGATGACAGGTTCACAATGCCGGAGAACATAATCATTGTTTGAAGAAAGCAGCATATTGTCATGCACCAGCCAAATGACCTTGTACGTGTGTAAAAAAAGAAAGAAAAAGCTGCTGCATTTATTCTGCTCAGAACAATTCCCTTCTTTAGCACAAAGAAATCTGCCAGAGATTGCCAGGACACAGACCATAAATATAGCCCCATCCACAGTAAAACCTCTCAACACCTTGTCATATAAAAACAAAACTTTAATGTCTGCTCAGTATTACCTGAGACAGTGCCACTTGCGTGRGGAAAAAAATACCAGTTAATCTAAAATAGCTGGTTCACTGGTCAAATGAAGACAGAATCAGACACGTGAGCCACACACACACATATATATACATGCACGTGCTGCGCAAACACATGCACAGTCATTGAAGGGGTAATATCTATTACTCCAGAAAATGGCTAAATGAAGAATGGTGAGGTTTCTGCGGGTGACTGCATTGCCCCGTTTGTTACTCCCATCCTGAAAGCTGCCATCGATTTATCCTCTAAAAGAAAAAAATAAATAAAACAACCAAAAAAAAAAAAAATAAGCCACATAATTAATTTATTTGTTTATTCTACAAGAAAAACGAGAGGGGGGGGAGGGATGCACTTTGCCATTTTTCACAGAAGCATCACCTCTTGTTTCCCTGACCAAACCCTTTCTGGGTCATCGCAATGCAAGCGAGGTGCATTTCGGCTGCTGGATGGCGGCGAGAGGGCTCTAAAAAATTTACAGAGACACCTTCGTGATGCGTGTAACGGAATGACGCGTTAAGCATTCATATGTAGCAAACAAAAAACTTTGTCGTCGTATTCTGACAATGATACAATGACACGGGGGGCTTCATTGCCTGAGTCTCCAGGGTAACACAGATCACTGAGATGTATGCAAAGGCGTGTGAACACATGAAAAGCCTCATTCACAAGCAAACACACACACGCAGACACATATTCTTTAAACAAACAATGGGAGAGTGAACGGTTTCCTTATTGTTACAGATGCTACAATTCATGCCTTTCAGTGCAATAAGACAACTCAAGGACAGACACGGAGGAAAACAAATACATAAAAGGGTTCTCTTGCACGCACACACACACACACACACACACACACACACACACACACACACAGCTGCACACACAAAGAGAAAACAAGTGCATACCTGGTATCAAAGGGCACGTCTCCAGGGAGAGTGTGTGTGGCCGACTTGCCAAGTAGAAAGCGTATGCGGCGGTAGAAGCTGTGTGTGTGTGTGCTGATGAACGCGGACGGCATGGAGGGGGACTGCGGGCTCTGCTGCAGCAGGGCCAGCGGGTCGGCGGAACCGTGACACAGGGGGTCGGAGCCACAGCTCAGCTGCTCGCAACAGTCTGGATCTACGCAGTCTGTCAAACCATCTGGAAAAAAAAGGGGAAAAAAACACACCGATATTTATGTATAATGTATACACTGCTGACCAGTAACTCAACGGGAGCTGTGAAATCTGACTAACAAGCCGCACATTAATCACGATTATTACAGTGGAGCTCATTATGGGTCATCGGCTGGCAATTACAGCTTTTTTAATGCTATAAATATGCCTTGAATCAGCTGCGGTACTTGAACACGATCCATAAAAGTCTGGCGTAAACAATGGAGGCGCAGACACAAACCGAGGTGGACAGGTAATAGGAGCTGGGCTGGCATTCATGTTTCCTATTCCGAGCCCATTTCTGAAAAAGGCAGGAAACAGTGCTGACATTTAAATGCACCTGACCACAGAGCAGAGAGCTAAAGGGCAACAATATTCTATTATAACCTCGTCCTACAAAGATAGCACACTACAATGGGTAATTTCCATGAGAGTCACTGTTTGATCTCAAAGGCGAGCAAGTAATTGAATTTTAAATATCATTGTCATTAAATGAATACACAAGATTGTAGTTTATTAACTAAATTTGATTATGCAAAAGGTGGAGCATTTAAAAACAGTTTGCACATTTTACTTTAATATGTGTATACATGTGATGTCACTGCCTTTAAGTGCAGAGTAAACCTTTAAGTGAAGCTTAATGCATATTTTCTCTTTTCACATCTAGGTGGAATAAATGAGTCTCTTCAAAGTTCCTCTTTACACTGATTACTAGAGATAGCATCTTTCCATCTCTGCCTATCTTTGACTCTTTCAAGAGAGGGCTATGAGAGCTGAAAGTATAGCTGCCAATTAGAGGAGAGGAGAGGACTGAATTGTGTGGTAGAAAAATATGGTATTTGAAGAGCTGCACACACAATGTGGGAGCCGGGGGAGAGAGAGAGGTCTAAATAATCTCAATGACACTTTGTCAGAGAGTTGCTTTCTTTTTGTTTGGCCTAATCAGAATGAAACTGAACAGTTGATAGATTCAGATATTTCAAGTAGTTTACAAAAATTCAAACACCGTTCTACTGCAAATGATTAATATGCATTATTTCTGATTTTGTTTCTATCCATCTTTTCTACAGCTCTGGTTTTACTTTACAAGACGTAAGACATTGCATGCCGCTGACATGGTTATGAGAGTCTTTTCTGCATGAACAAGTATAACTGTGGTGAAGTCCTGGTGAGCCCTCTGAATGCAGCGCACTTCAAGGGCAAACAGGAACTACACAGCAAAAGCCCGGTTGGCAAAAAGGATGTTCGTTTTTAGCTAATGATGGAGGAATTGTAGGAGGAAGATCTTTTTATTATTWTTTTTTTTCTGTTTAGCGATCTCCATTGTTTCTGACTGATGTGAGAATGTGTCCTTATGTGGCCTGGAGCGATTCTCTCAGATACAACAGCCACAGTCACAAAGTCAGTTGTGTCTACGGGCTGTCTCCTTCAGGGACAAATGTCCGATCTCCTTCCACGAGTTCTTTGACCACGTTTATGAGTTTTATTTGACTTTCTTTATAGGTTTGCTGAAACAGTTGTAAAGATGGCTGTATTCTTTAACAGCCTTGGCCAGCAGCTCTTTTGTGAAGCAGAACGAAGAACAGCGTGGTTCAGCCACTTTTCTGCATAAACATGCTGACCAATGGGACCAATCACACAATACTTGGTGCAATGCACAGGACAAGACGAGGATACAGTGTCTCGGCCAAGGACACTTTTGCACACTGCAGGTGCAGTCTGCCTGATTTGTTTCTTTAAACAATCCCTCATTTCCTGCCACTGTTCCATGCAGCCCAGCTCTGCGTAGCTTCTAGTGGTCCCATAGATAGACACTCTTATCTCTGCAAAAGACCTGCCCAGCTCCATCGGGGTTATCTTTGGCCTCTTGGTTGATTCTGTGATTAATGACCTCCTTGCCCAGTTTCAGTTTTGGTGGATGACCCTCACCTAGCAGGCAGGCTTGTGGTGGGGTTGTTTTCAAAATCCATTTTCCAATAATGGATTTAATGCTGGGATGTTATGGGTTTGGGATATTTTTTATAAGCCAACCTTGATATGTACTCCACTACAACTACACTACAACTTTGTCTCAGATATGTATTCTTTCATCTTCAAATTGTGACTTGCTTGGTGGGATCCCACACTACTGAAGACCCTTTCATTCTATAATGTTTTTGGCAACTTATGCTAATCTATGAACATTTTGTCCAACCCTAAAGATGTTTTTGCTGAAGATGGAATAAAATATCTACTGGAAGCCTCTTTTGAACATATACATACTGTAAGTAAAAAGTGCAACAAATAAATAATCTACGTATGTTAGTAATTTAGACACAAGAAAAGTTTTGCATTTCAAATACATTTGTCAACAACTCATTTGACACATATTATTCACAGGTGAATGTTAATTAACTATTTATATGGCTTCTGGGGAATGACTGGGAGTTCACAGCAAACAAATATTATGGTGCACACAACGTTTTTCAGTTTTAAACAGTGGTTTTATAACGTTTTAAATTAAAACATTTTTTTTTCATATTTAACTTCATTAATCTACAGTATTTATGCAGGTCCATTGTTTAAAGTTAAATTGAAAATCCATTTAATTTACAGGTTGCAAGGCAACAAAACAGAAAAAAAAAACAAGTCAGGTGAATACTTTTGCAGCCAGTTATACACATTCATTTTTAAATAATTGTAATTTTTGCATGTTTTCTCTGCTTGCCATTACAGTTTAAGCATTATGTTTTCAATGCAGTAAAACAGACACTTGATGATTTTTGTATCTCTTCACATTAACATTTGCACCTTCCACGAGTAAAATATACCTGAAAATTCCACCTGTCAGTGCAAATATATTATCATGCAGCACCAGTATATTTCAGAACATTGAGTTGTATTTTACAATACCTTTCTGCTTACTGTGTCTTAAGTATTTAAAGCCTCTTGTTTGGCTTCCATCTGCTCTCCATTTAAACATCTGCTTTACCCTCTCATTCACAGAGACAACATGTATATTTCAGCTGAGATCAACACATGTTTATGAAATGGGGTAGACCTGCTATTTTGTATTGCACTTGTGTACAATAAGGTGACTCACGGAAGAAAATAAAAAAAATAATGCAGCTGAGCTGGAAGCATCCTGTTTTCTGCTCCCAGTATGGATTGAGCTACATTTGAGCCTGATCTTATTCCAAGTTCTGACAGGATTATATAAACAGATCCTGGCCAGCTAGTACCAACTAAAAATTTATGACCAAAAAAAAAAACCTTAAATGCTCTGTAGGAATTTGCATTATTCAATGATAAAGAAAGAGAAAAAATACAGAGCTTCAACATCAATGTAAAATTGATGCAGCAGTGTGAACCCATGGGGTCATTATTCCTCTCACTTTCCTGCCATTTCATGTTTAAATATCATCCGTCTGAGTTTCTGAATACCAACTTCTGCTCTGCAGAAAGTGGCCTTCATTTTTGCCATTTGCAAATCTGTTGATAAACAGTGTTCACGATGGTGTTTATGAACGGTGATCATGTGTAAAGCTTGGAACAGCATTTGTTATGAATTATTTCAGGCCTGTCTGAGTTCCTTCAGAACCACAGAAGATGTTACCTTGCTCTCGCTTTAAGATGTTTTTTGAGGGTATAAAAAGTTCACGTAAAACAACGGTTCAGCTCAGTTTTAGAGTCAAGGTTTGTCCCAAGAAGAATAAAGAAAATGCTTAAATCTAATTTTATAAACTATTTTTAAAATCAAAGCAAATGCTGAGTTGAGTAACATCTCACAATGTAAAATTAATAAAATGCATAAATGGTAAAATTTCACAGCTCTTTCATTCATGAGTGACAATTTTAACATTTGTGGCAGCTTATTTAACAGCTTAGGGTGTCAAAGGGTGTTTCAGTTCATGGAAATTATGACCCAATTGATTTCTCATGCATCCACCCAGGTCCCTCTTGCTGTGAGACATCAGGGCTAACCACTGAGCCATCGTGTCCTACATCTGCCATGAATCACTGGGAACTTGATCATTTTAAACAGACAGCAGATCTTTAACTTCCTTTGTTTCATAAATCAGCAGTTCTTGCTTTTTTATTCCTGTGGAGAGCTTTAGATTGTCCCGACATGGCAGTTAGCAACTTAAAAAAACATGTTAAACTAGATGAGAGTAATGATGGCGTGTGACAAGTATGTTCTTTGCCTGGTGGCACACAACAGATCTCGATACCAGAACTGTCCCAGATCAGTATGATACATTTAACATTTCATCTCCATTTTGAACTATTAGTAGACTATATGATAGACAAATGCCTGTTATGTCTGGATTGAGGTTTGGGTGATATCTTAACCACATCTTCAATCACATGATAAGACTTCTTAGACACAATCATCTATTTTCTAAGTCCAGTTGCTCACTAAGGCTATGATCACACTGCTGGGTTACCAGATTTAAACTGCATGACTCTTGGTTAAAACRTTATATTACACAAGCATTCATAATGCATTGCATTGAAAAACATCAGATATGTAGCACATATTGAAAAGGCCTGGAGACATTCACATGGGTTTTCACTTTACTCACGAGTTTCAGGTCTTACCCTTGTGTCAYGGGAACTTTTAACATGGTCCAAATATTTGCACTGATTTTTTTTGTGTCAGAACAATTACAAAGACATCACAGGCCTCTGAAACCATTCTCATTTTAATTTCATTGGTCATAACGTTTTGGAAATGTGTTCCAGTTTTGGGAGGGTTTGAGAACCTATAAAACTAAGAATAAACTGCAATCAAGTTGAGATATTATTTAGACATTGGCCAACAATTTGCAATAAAAAGATTGCATGTCATTTGCAGAATTGTCACATTGCGTTGGCATTTTGTAAGCATGCAACTATGTTTAAGTTCTAAATGAGTGTGATTCTATGTGAATCTTTGCATTTCTTTATTTAAATCCTGCGTCCCCAACTAGTCAGTCCCAGCCTAGTCAGCTCCAGACCAAACTTCCCCATCGCTTCTCGTCACTCTCATTCATTCGAAACTTGCTCATTTCATACAGAGCCAATTCACAACTAAAGTCATCTCTAGGTGCTATCCAATTCAAATCCAATTTCATCAAATTCATTCCGACACAGTTCAACTGGATCCAATTACAATCCATTCTGTCATCCTTCTGTTTTGTTCTGAACCTTCATCCTTTATCCTTATTACCTTCACTTTCTRATTCTTCTCCACGACTTTCCCTCCTGGTCTCTACTTTACTTTTTGCCCAAAAATGTTCTGAAGAGGTGCTCTAAGTTGGTCMGGTCATTTAAACCAGCTGAGATTGAACACCCCCCACCCCAACCTGTTGTTCCTAACCGTCAAATCTTAGACTCATCTGATGAGCCTCATCCATCAAATCCATYCATAACTCCATCCCTTCTTTGTCTCTGATTAAACCACTAATCTCACATTGTTAAGGTCTGCTCCTTTCTACTCAGTGACATTTAGTGCAGAAATGTCAGTTAAGACAGTGACACAGCGTATGATTGTGCAACTGAATGAACACGTATTACAATGGAAAGAGCACCAAGAGAAAAACAAAAGAACACAACCCATTACCACAACAAAGAAAAGGTAATGAACGGCGCCAGCCCTCCTGACACAGCAAAAACGCACACTAGGAACTGTTTCTGATACTCGGCTCCTGTTTTACAGTCCAAAAGGCATGTTCTCTTGCATGCCTCTATGGTTGTAATCCGGAAGAAAGGCCCGTGACTCATGTTTTAGCAGCCATCAACACTCGCACTTTTAGAGTGCTGGCTGAGTCAGTCACGCAGCTTTGGTAAACAATGTGGGGGTGGGGGTGGGGGGTTTACTTTGTAGCTATCAGAAGCCTGCACCAACAGAAAACTGTGTCTGTGGCTTCCTGCTGCTGCTGATCCAAACACCTCTTCACTAAAGTATATGGAACCACACACACACACACACACACACACACACACACACACACACACACACACATAAACCCAACAAGCTTTCCCTGCAAACAAAAGGCAACACTACCTTGTTTGCAGAGATGGATTACAGCTCCACCTTAACAGTCACATCTGTAATAGATATTTGATRGAGTTTCCAAAAGAATGGGGCAAAGTTGAAAGCRATGTAATATTGTGTTAAATGAAGATCGGTCGTGTCACGGAGAAGCACAGTAGATGGGACGGAAATGGTCTGGAAATAATTGTAATACCACAGTACATGGCTAAGAGACACACAACCCCTCTGAGACACTTGAGAACCAAAAGACCTGAATATATA